CCACTGAGCCAAACCGGTTAGGGCTGTGTGTGTGTTTTTAATAAAAGTTTTTTTTTTAATTATTTATACATTTTTTAAACCTCATCCGAGGATATTTTTCCATGGATTTTTAGTTATTTATTTTTTTAAAATATATTTCTTTATGGATTTCAGAGAGGACAGGAGAAGGAGAGAGATAGAAACATCAATGATGAGAGAGAATCATGGATCGGTTGCCTCCTGCACACCCCCCTAGTGGGGATGGAGCCCGAAACCCAGGCATGTGCCCTTGACTGGATTCGAATCCACAACCCTTCAGTCCACAGGTCGATGATGGCTGATGTTCTATCCACTGAGCCAAGCCCGCTAGGGCTCATTTGTTTGTTTATCCTCACCCCAGGATATGTTCATTTTTATTTTTTTTAAATATGTTTTTATTGATTTTATAGAGGAGGAGAAAGGGGGAGAGAGACAGAAGCGTCAATGATGAGAGAGAAGCATTCATTGGCTGCCTCCTGCACACCCCATACCTGGGATGGAGGCCGAAACCCTGGCATGTGCCCTGACCGGGAATGGAACCGTGACCTCCTGGTTCATAGGTGGACGCTCAACCACTGAGCCATGCCGGCCGGGCACCGCTGCCATTTTGGACTTGAGGGTCTAGCCACCGCCCCAGGCTTCCTGGGCCCAGTGGGGAAGGAAGGCCTGGACATGTGGCCCCAGAGTCCACGGCTGATTCCCTCTCCTGTCCCCTCCTCAGCCCCCAACCCCGTCAGGGACCTGACCGTGGAGAGTTGGACCAACATCTCCATCACCCTGCGCTGGGAGTCCCCAGACCCCCAAAGCTACACCTACTGGGTCCAGTGCACCAAAGACGATGGCAAGAACGAGACCTGGAACACGACAGACGTCACGTACACGGTGCAGGGACTCACGCCGGCGACCTCCTACCTGTTCTCCCTGTGGGCGGAGAAGCACGGAGTCCCCAGTTCCGTGCAGACCCAGGAGGGCTCCACAGGTCAGCCGCACCCCGCCCGATGGCTGGGTTTCCCCTGGGGGTGGGAGGAGGTGGCTGGGATCCGGTGGGAGCAGGGCCAGCCCAGGGCAGCCGGCAGGTCATTGGGCCTCCGTGGGCTGGACCTCCAGCCGGGCCCCAGGAGAGCCGGCCACAGCCCAGGGTTGTCCCTGGGCCCTCCTGCCTCTGAGTTAGGGCTGGGGAGCTTTCTAGACCACCATGCTAGTGCGGGGGCCAGGAGGGGCTCTGTTTAGCACCCAGGGCGGGGCGGGGGCTACACTGGGAACTGGGAGGGTCAGCGATGACCGGCTTCCCTGCAGACACTGAGCCTTCCTCCTGCCGTCTCAGCCCCCAACCCCGTCAGGGACCTGACCGTGGGGAATCCGACCACCAGCTCCATCACCCTGCGCTGGGGGCCGCCCCCGGGCCCCGACTGGAACTACACCTACTGGGTCCAGTGCACGGGAGACAATGGCAAGAATGAGACCAAGAACACGACAGACGTCACATACACGGTGCAGGGACTCACGCCGGCAACCTCCTACCTGTTCTCCGTGTGGGCGGAGAAGCACGGAGTCCCCAGTTCCGTGCAGACCCAGGAGGGCTCCACAGGTCAGCCGCACCCCGCCCGATGGCTGGGCTCCCCCTGGGGGTGGGAGGAGGTGGCTGGGACCCGGTGG